GTTGATGTCCATCGCAGAGAAGGAAACAGCAAAAGATGCTTGGGAAACCCTCAAGACGATGTACGTAGGTGCGGATAGAGTTAGGATTGCAAAAGTGCAGACATTGAAGGCTGAGTTTGAAGTGTTGAAAATAAAGGAGACGGAAACGATAAATGAGTTTTCCATGAAGGTGAGCAATGTGGTGAGCAACATACGGGCCTTAGGTGACAAGGTTGAAGAAGCGTATATCGTCAAGAAGTTACTCAGAGCTGTCCCAACAAAGTTTCTACAAATTGCTTCAACGATTGAACAATTTGGAGATTTGGAAACGATGACCGTCGAAGAAGTCGTCGGAAGATTAAAGACTCGTGAAGAAAGAGTCAACGGACATGAAGATAATGAGGAGCAACGACTCCTGCTCACACATGAAGAATGGCTTGAAAGGTCAAAGCAAAGAGGTGATGACTCGAAGTCACCACAAAAAAGTCATGGTTCTGATGATAACTCTTCTAGGGGATGAAGAAGGAGCCGTGGACGAGGTGGAAGCAGAGGAGGACATCGAGGAGGTGACACACATAGTTATCGTGAAGGTGGACAAGGATCATCAGGAGGTCGCGATAAGAGTAAGATCAAGTGTTTCAATTGCAATGAATATGGTCATTATGCCTACGAATGGCCTGAACCAAAACAAGACAGAAACCAAGAGGCTACCTTAGTTCAAGCTCATGAAGATGAAGAACATGCATTGCTATAAAAATAAAATCCATTGGTATGGTGAAGCTTGAGGAGGTACTGGTGCAAAGTGTCAGCCAACATTCGGAGTAGGGGGTGAATGTTGGAGTAATCCGAATGTATGAAGGGTAGTTTAGTCATTTATTTTTTTCTTTTAGGATAGAGTCAAAGACACGTGGGTGCAGGCGGCATAAACCTAGGAATGGGTTGTTATCTTTTCCTATTTTGTTGTTCAGTTTAGCTATTTAATTAAGTAGGAGTCGTATCTTTCAGTGTGTGTATTTCTTGAAGGTTTTCTCAGATAATAAAGAGGTTATGGTTATGAATTCTTGTATCTTCTTTTGCTCCCTTCCCAGTTACATTACGCAGCAGAAGAGCTGCACTAGTCTCTCTTGTTTTTGAGTTGTGTATGTAGGGGGTTGAACCCAACAAAGATCGATGCTTTAATGACCGGAATGCATAACTCTCTTAACAATGCTTCAAGCCAGGTAACTTCAGCAACAACATCAACTAGAGCTTTGTATTCAGCCTCCGTGGATGACCAAGAGACATTTTTCTGTTTTCTTGCTGACCAAGAAACTAAATTTGAACCAAGATATATAGCATATCCCCCTGTGGATTGACGGTCATCTGGACAGCCAGCCCAATCAGCATCTGAAAAGGCAGTAACCAGAGGGGATTTCGCATCTCCATAGGTATGAATAGTGGTGTCAAGGGAGGGGGTGAGACAGAGACCAAAAGTGCTGGTGCCTTTAAGATACCGGAGAATCCTCTTAACAATAGACAAATGATTGCTAGTCGAAGAGTGCATGAACTGACAGACTTTGTTGACGGCATAGGCGATGTCGGGTTTGGATAGAGTGACATATTGCAAGGCTCAAACCACTTGATCATACCGCATATCATTCTCGAACAATAGCTGGTGAAACCCTTTAAAACCAAGAGCAAGAAGTGCCTGAGATAGCCAGTGAAACCAAGCATGTGGTGTCTGCTTGAGACCATACAAGGATTTGTGTAGTTAGCAAACATGGTTGGGTTTGTGAAGATTAAAAAAACTGGGAGGTTGGCGTAGGTAGACAGTCTCATTAAGATCACCATGAAGGAAGGCGTTTTTAACATCCAGCTGCCGTAGGGGCCATTTGTTGGACACATCTAGAGAAAGGACAACCCAGACAGTAGTAAACTTGACAACCGAGTTGACGTGTCATGAAAGTCAACCCCTGGCTGTTGATGAAACCCCTTGGCTACTACATAAGTGTTGCAACGTGTTATAGAACCAGTATGATCGCGTTTAATCTTGTAAACCCATTTGCAATCAACAATATTAAAATTAGGAGCATGTGGCACAAGTTTCCATGTGTCATTTCTAATTAGAGCATCATACTCATCAGCCATAGCTTTTTGCCAATGCGGATGTTTAGCAGCAGTAGAAAAGGTTGTAGGTTCTTGTTTAGTCTGGGTAGCGACATGAAATGTAGATGGATCAAACCGGGTTGTCTTCTTCGAGTTTGGATGAAGTGTAGGGGGCGCACCCGAGTTGCAGAGGTCTCAGTTGATGAAGTCGGGACAGGCTCGGTTGTGGTAGTGTTGCGCCGGTCCCGATGAACATAGGTGAAGAGGGGATGGTATGTGGCAGCAACCGATGCTGCCGGTAGGATCGTAGCAGGGGAAGGGGAGGGTGTGGGTGTTGTAACTGTGGGTGGGGATGAATGTGTAAGTGGTGGTGTAATAATTAGTATAGAGTTGTCTGAGATAATTGGTAATGGGTAAGTAGAAACATAAGGATTGGTTGTGGAGGGTGGAGGTGTAACGGGAGCTGGTACGAGAAAGGGGAATGAAGTCTCGTGAAAACGGACATGGCGAGATATGTATATTTTATCTATACTGGGGTCAAGACAGCAGTACCCATAGTGAGAGGAACTATATCCAAGAAAGATACATGGGATGGACCTGAAATCCATTTTATGTTGGTTGTAAGCTCTAAGGTGGGAAAAGTATTGACACCCAAAAACCTTTAGAAAAGAGAAATCAGGTTCCCGTTTAAAGAGCTGCTCAAAGGGTGATATACGAGAGGTGGTACGAGATGGCATGCGCTTGATAAGATAAACTGCAGTGTCAAAGGCAAAGTGCCAATAAGTATTTGGAACACCGGATTGAGCAAGAAGGGCCAAACCAGTTTCAACCACATGACGATGGTGTCTCTCAACCAGACCATTTTTTCACCTGTATGAAGGCAAGAGAGACGGTGAACAATGTCGAATGAGTTGAAATTTTGAGTTAATTTGCGGAATTCACCCCCCCCCCCCCCCCCCCAAAAAAAAAAATGTTTGAACATATTTAATTTTTATGGAAAATTGACGTTCTGTGATGGTAAGAAACAGTTTAAATACTTCAAAGACATCAGATTTTCGTGTAATTGGAAAAATCCACATAAAACGAGAGAAATCATCAACACATAGCAAAAAATAATTATGACCATCAGAAGAGGTCATAGGTGCGGGGCCCCAAAAATCACACACGACAAGATCTAAAAACTTTTTGCTATTAAAAGTAGATATAGATAAATGAAGTTTAGATGATTTGCCAATATGACAAGAATTACAAAAAGAATTTGTTGAACTAGAAACAGGTAGACAATATTTAGAAAATATAAACTTCAAAAGTTGTGGATGAGGATGCCCGAGCCATTGATGCCACGTGTCGAAAGGGGCTTTAAGAGTAGTAAAAGCAACTTTGGGAAGATGCTAAAAAGACGGAAGGCAAATGGAGTGGAGTCCGTTGTTACTTGGACCTGTAAGGATGGTAGTTTTGGTAGAATTGTCCTTCATAGCAAAAAAAAAAAAAAAAAAAAAAAAAAAAAAAGTGAAATTCAAAGAAAACATCATTATCTAAGTTGAACTTTTGGACAAAAAGAAGGTTCTTTCTTATTTCAGGAACATGAAGAATATTGGACAAGGAAAAAGTTTTTGTAGGCGAATAAAAATTAGAAGAACCAATATGAATAATAGATAAACCCATACTATTGCCAACATGAAAAGCATCCTCACCGAAATACGATGTGTGATTCTCAATGGAGGAGAGATCATGAGAAACATGGTTATTGGAGCCAGTGTCTGGAAGCCATGTGGTAGTTTGAGAGCGATTTTCTGCAAAATTAGCAGAGGGTTGTGAGCGAGAGCGGATGGTGGTAAGATCACGATTAGGACATTAGGATGGAATGTGGCCAATACCGTATCGGTTAGATGTTCCATACACAGTGTTTTGAGTGGAAGCTCATGGGAATTGGCTCCTCGTACCACCTGATGTGGGGTTGTAGTTGGCTCGACCACGACGATTGTTGGAGCTGCGACCTCGAGAGGGTTGCGATCGGCCGGCATAGAAGGCTTGAAGAAAGGGAGCCTGACTGAGTTGAAGTCCGAGTCAGGAAACAAGTCGTTGAAGGGCGTGTAGGTGATCAAGTGATGGAGTAGTGGTGAGTGGAGTGGATCGGTTGGATGAGGTGGCGGTAAAAGCTTGGACATGAGCAACCGTGGGTGAGTTTTTCTTGATCATAAAGTCATGATCAGCTAGAAGACCATGAAGATCTTGAAAAGAAGTAGGTGATTGTCAAGCAAGAAGAGTGGATTTAAGACCATTGTATTCCACACGAAGATCGGAAATCACCAACATAACGAGGTCTTTCTCCTTAACAGGCTCTCTAATGTTTGCCAAGACGTCAGAGTATGTGATTTAGTATGCTTGGTATGTGGTATCATGAGGAACTCACTAAGTTTTGTGCTTACAATTTTCAGTTTATGTTTCAGATACTTCGGTTTTCAATTGGAAGAGTTCGGAATGATTGCAAAGCACACACCGCATGTTTCCGCATTCTTTGATTTACTCTGATAACGATGATGTATAATAGAGCTTGATTTACCTTGGTTCATGAAAATGAGATTGTGTACTATTTTAGTAATTTTAAAATTAAAAAAATCGGTCTTATTTTTGGGGCGTTACAAAGGGAAAACTCGTCACTTTGAAAAAGTTGAAAACAAACTGGAGTAAAGTCACAACAAATGAAACCTTTTGGACGTGGTGCAACTCCAAAATATTTTCGACCAAACATTCAATTTTTATATACCACATGGACCAAACTAGCAATTTTGTCATCAAAGTATCATCCATCTACGAACCAACTAAAACTAAACAATTAATAATTCCAAGAAAAAGGTTGAAGTCAAAAGGCGTGTTTGGCACAGAGCTTTTAAAAGCGTTTGAAAGTCAAAATGCACTAGTTTAAACAAAAAGTT